TAAGCGTCCATGCCTCCGCCCCGTACAACAACACAGAGAAAACATAGCGATGAGAATGCAAATGAGAATTTTCTTGACAACGTTGCCGCTCTCACGGCAGCAACCACATACCCATATGTCTTCGTCTCTGACCAATGGGTCTATCCAGAAGCGTTTTTCAACCTATGTAATTTTGTTCCATCCGCATTATATGCCCTAGCCACCTCAGACGTCCTATCTTAATATGTTTAACGATATCAGGATCCTGGTATATTCTATAAAGTTCGAAGTTGTATCGTCTTCTCCACACTCCATTGTCATTCACTGCTCCATAAATTCAGCTTAGTGCTTATCTTTCGAAACATCCTAACATGTTTTCATTATTTTTTGTTAGAGTCCAGATCTCTGAATCATATGTTAGGACTGTTCGTATTATTTTTTTGGAGAGTTTTATTTTTGTATTTCTCGATATAATTGTGGATTTAAGGAGGAGATTGAGCCCAAAATAATATCTGGCCGAGCCAATTTTGAGGTTTATCTCTGCGGTAGTTTTATTTTCAGTGTTAAGGAGCGTTTCAAGGTATACAAATTTGTTCACTGCTTCGATGACGTCGTTTTCTATAATACGTGGTCGTAGTATTTGTGGTTGCGTGCTTATTTTCATATACTTTGTTTTGTTGGTGTTTATTATTAAACCAATTTTTGTAGCTAATTCTTTTAATGCTACATACGCTTCTCGTACAGCGTTTTCCATTCTTCCAAGAATATTGATATTATCAGCATAAGTCAGACTTTGCACTGATTTATTATATATGGAATTAGTGGTTGTGATTTGTGACATACATAATATCTTTTTCAGAGCCAGATCGAACAGTATACAGGAGCGAGAGAGTCTTGCTGGCGTAGCCCGTTATTTGTTTTAAAAGGTTCAGACAGTTGCCCTGAATTCGTACTCGACATTCAACGTTTTCAAAAGTTAGTTTTGTTAAATTTACCAACTTACTTGGTATTTCTAGCTTTTTCATTGCTTTGAACACTTCTCTTCTATTCAAAGAGTCGACGGCTACTTTATAGTGTATAAATATATGATGAGTATCAATGAAATATTCCAGTGTTTTTTCCAAAATTTGTTCCAGCGTTGCAACCTGATGAATTGTCGATTTACCACCTCTGAAACCAACGTGGTATTTTCCTACTATGATTAGTGATTAGAGCATTCAAAGATATCTCATTTTTTGTGTATGGTGCAAAGTATTCCAATATTCCAACTATTGGGGAGGGATTTCTGTGCCCATATTTCTTTTATAAGCTGCTGTAACGCCATTATGGTATCATGGCCACCTTATTTATATAGTTCCGCTGGAAGATTATCTATTCCGTGTAATTTTTTTCTGGCTAGTTTTTACCTGCATCTTTAACTTCAAGAATCGTTGGTGGTTCCTCTTCCTTCTCGTCTGTTCACCTTACCTCATATCTTTGTTCTTCTAGGTTTCCTTCTTCTTCTATATTTAGTGACTGGTTAAAGTATTTGACCATCTATTCAATACATCTTTCCTTGCTGTTAATATGTCGCCATTGTGCCTTCTGCATTGTCTTGTATTTGCCTTGAATTATTTTCTGTTGATGTTGAACTTACTTATAGAATGCTCCGAATTCTTTCTCTCTGTTGCGGTTTTTTATTTATTACAGTTCTTTATTTAAGTGGTTTTGTTTTTCTTTTGTGTAACCTCTTTTCTTTTCTTCCCTTTGTCTGGTAATTCGCTACAGTTGTTCTAGTTCGTCGGGTAAGCATCTTTCTGTAGGCTTCATTTTCTTCTTTTCTTTACAAATTTTTGTTCCTATTTCCTCTTTTGCTGCTGCTTTAATGTCTTCCTTTATTCTGGTCTAGTAGAAATCTATATCTGTCTGGCATTATTCATTTACATTTTGATTTCTTAGTCTGTTGGTGATGTTTTTTAAGTAATGTTCTGCAATTGTCGCATATCTCAGCTTTCGTACATTCCATTTTTTTTATATTTATTTTATTTTCTTTGCTAGTATTTGAAATTTTAGTCCTCAATGTTGAGATCACTAAGCAACGATCTGAGTCTATGTTTACGCCTCTCTAACTTCTGAAGTTTATTATGTCTGGTCCATGCCTTAAATCTATTAAGATGTGATCAATCTGACTCGATGTTTTTTCATCAGGAGAGATCCAGCTTACCTTTTGTATGTTCTTGTGTTCAAAATTGGTGATAGCAACAGCACTCAATATGAGCGACTGTCATATTGAGTGCTACTGCTAAGTTTATTAGTCGTAGGAATAACATACAATCAGAGAATCTCAACCATACAGTCACACAATTATTAAATTTTTAGTAAATATTAGGAGAAATGAAATTTTAGTAATTAGATGAATAGTAAACAATTTCTTTTATTGACTTCCATAAAAAATAATGGTATTTTATTAGGTTCATAATTAATGATAAGGAATAGACAACAGACATATTTAATGTTGTTTTTTATAATGATCTGATTAGTGTTAAAATCTATTTCAAAGTTGCAGTAACTTTGAAAATTGCGATTATTTCTGCAATATAGGTTGTGTTATTTTTCACGAGTTTGAATAAATTTAGCCCACGGACGCGGGCTACATTTCAGTATTTCAGAACAGCAGATAATCATTAATCTTAAGAACTATCATTTGGACGTAGACGTTTACGTAGTAGTGATTAATTATGAAATATAATAACGCTTGTATCCGAAATAAGTGGTGTTTCTAAAAGAAGTATTTAAAAACTACCTCAGAAGTATGCATCACCTGCTGGTCTCCAACAACAGAAGAAAAAACTTGATATTGGTACAATTTTAACATCTCGTGAAAATAAATATGATGAAACAGAAAAAAGCTGTACTGTAGAATATTGCACTAATTATTTCGGGAAATAGACCACCAACAATTAACTCTGTTTTAACTACAATAATGCTCAATACAGCATTTGCCCAATTATTCACGAAACACACTATATCTCTATTGTTGTGCGATATCGTAACAAGAGCAGACTTATGCAAGCTAGCCTATAGCATTGCAGAGAAAATGAAGATTAATAATCCGTTCAATAAAGTGACCAAGATGGCTAGCAAAGGATGGTTGCATGGTTTTCGCCAACGAAATCCGCAATTATCATTACGTCTTCCAGAAGCTACGTCTCTTGCACGGGCCGAGGCATTCAATAAGCCTCAGGTAAATAAATTTTTTGATAAGTTAGAAGAAGTTGTTGAAAAACACAAAATTCAAAATACCATGATATTCAACATGGACGAATCAGCCTTGACTACCGTCCAAGTTCCGCCAAAAGTCTTTGCTCAAAAAGGAAAAAAAAAACAAATGGGCTCTATCACGAGCGCAGAAAGGGATGTACACACAACAGTTGTAGTGTGCATGAGTTCTGTAGGAATTTACATACCACCATCAATAATTTTCCCCCGAAAAAGGTTTAACCCACTTTTATATGACGGCGCACCTGTAGGAATATTAAAATTGCATAATGAATCAGAATACATGACCGGAGATTTGTTCATAAGGTGGATGCAACATTTCATTGACCATGTGAGGCCGAATCCTGCGCATTATTAATTTTAGACGGACAATTTAGCGATAAAAGCTACGAAGCTTTAGAATTAGCTAAACAGAATTTAGTGGTATTACTTTGCCTGCCGGCACACTGATGTTGACTTTTTCGGACCACTCCATAAATATTATAATCAAGCTATTACTCATTGGCTCAGGGAAAATCCTGGTCGTGCAATAACCATATATCAAGTGTCCAGTCTGTTCCAGAAAGCATATGAGAAAACAGCAAATATTGAACTCGCAATAAATGGTTTTCGGGCCACAGGAATATCACCTATAAATCGTAACACTTTTCCGGAGCATGCATTTTTGCCTAGTGCAACTACAGATGTGCCTGAGGATGTGTCTGGTTCTACTAATAAACTTGACATTGCTTCTACATCTTTACCTGCTGATGTTAATGTTCCTCACGCTGCAACTTACGATCATCATGATGTCCAAGAACCATCGGCATCTAGTTTTAAAGATGATTCCATTGAAGGAATCCTGATGGAATTGGCACCGGTACCTCAGAGTAATGTAAGAAAACCTACCAAACGTAAATCTGGTCAATACCAAGATGTATTAACCGAGAGCCCATTCCTGAAATATCTCCGCGAAAAAGAAAATGAAAAAAAAAGCATAAGAAATAAAAAGCAGAAAAGGGGACGTGAACATTGTGAACAAAGATAGACATCAGTCGGAGAGAAAAGGCAAGAGAAATATTGGGACCAGACCAATACTGAACAATATATCAAGTGATGAAGAAGAACCCTTTAGTATTGATGATGATGAACAAGAGGACTGCGCTTACATTTACTGCAATGATACGTTTAGTAGGTCCAAATCTAATGAAGGATAGTTAAGATGCCAAATTTGCCAAAACTGGTCACATTGAGAATGTGCTGGACTTCCCAAAAAATCAAAAAAAATTATTTGCGAAATTTGTATGAACTAAAATGTTTAATTAAAATTTTTTTTTCTTCGTAATAATAAAAATTTATAATTATTTTTGTATCTAACACTATTGTTTATGTGTATGCCATTTTGCCCGCACTGGACAGGCAAAATGTTTTTTGTTACATTTTGAATTTGATTTTTTTTAATAAATCTCTTTGTATGAGTGATTTTTTGGTACTTAAAATAGTAGAAAAATGTTCTGGCTATCATTATACATCAAAAGGAATAATTTATCTCTATTTATGTCTCAGATATATGGAAAATAAACTAAGTATGCCATCTTGCCCGCCCTTCCCCTATATTGCTTACGTTGTTCTACACCCACTTCTTCACTACGAGTTTTAGTTAGTAATACTAGTACTTATATATAATTTAAGTATTCGAGGATCGAGTGTGAATAATATCAATTGGAATGTTGCAATTTATTTTAAAGTATTTGTAATTATTTGTTATATTTTCTAAAACTTACCCATAATAATAATAACCGGCCCTGGATCCAGACGTGGCTTCTGTATCACTGGAATAGTCCAGACTACCCCTAGTTCTTCGCATCGTGCCTGCCGTGGAATATTGTGACCCGCTTGTACCATATTTCGCTTGGGCTATTTGAGCTGCTACTGCCGCCTGATCCACAAAACGCTGATTGTATCTATAAAAAATAATATAGGTAATCAATAAAAAGATGAAATATTTTCAAAACATATAGTGTAACAATTATTGGAAAATTATTTTCTTTTACAAAATATTAAAATTACCCTATTTATAAAATCTCTTGTTATATTTGAACGGTTGCGATAGCTTGATGGTACAGTTCCCGTCATATAAAACTGGTACACTTTTTTTCCCAATGTAAACATGTGTTCAGATTTGGTTCATAAATCAATTCGTTGTTTCCATCACAGATAACAGAATTGCACTAAATCTAAATAAAAAAATAACGTTTAAAAATGTTTAAAGTTTTTATATAGGTATTATTATTATCATTAACAACAAAAAACCGTATCTAATAAATTTGATAACCAGAGAGAGGTTTGCGTTAATGCCCAAAATGTTTAAAGGATCTTACCCCTCCTTTTAGCTGATTTGATATAATATTTCACTGAACTGCCAACGTTGCCATCAAAAAATTAGAATGACATATGTGTTAAGATCAACTTACACAACTTAAAAAACTCGATTTTCGGTTATAAGAGTTGTACCAATTTTTTATGACACGAAGGGTACCTATACGAGAAAAAATAAATTTTTATCCCAACAGTTTTTCGCTTAAGTTGACGTTTGTCCTACTGCTCCATTAAGGCATTTTTGTGATTAAAAAAAAAGAAATTTTTTTTTATTGGGTTAATGCCTCGACAAATATGATCATTGGCATGGTACAGTCAGGTACCTAGTGTAGTGTGTGTGTGTGTGTGTAGAGTAATTGTCTTGATACTTAGCAAAGTCGACGTCATTGTCTTTGCTAAGAGACGCTAATTGTATCCGAACGTCTGTGCTCCCTCCGGTGAGTACCGATCGCACAAGGATAGAAATTATTTTCATTCATTAACTTTTAATAAATGAAAATTTCTCCACCCAGATGAGATTCGAACTCACGACCTTTAGGTTTAAAGGTAGGCGCTCTTACCACTGAGCCACAGAGGGGGTAAAAAGAAAATTAAAAATTTAAGAATTCTTATATAAGCTATATTGTAAAATATGCTCAAAATCTTCGTATTTGTGGCATGTGTTGGCTTAATCCAAGGCCATGGTAAAATACAGTTCTTGCATTTTGTAAAAAATATGGGCTATTTGTTAAATTTATGGAGTAATAACTTCTCTTAATTCCTCCAGTTTTTCTAATTTCTTTACACAAATTTTCTTTTCTAAGAATCCTCATAAGGAAGAAATCAGAAAGAAAAAATAACGCAGGTCACTTAATTGCATCTCGACTGCCAGTCCATTTGAAAATTTTTTAAATATTTATGCGTTATGAGCATAGTGTGATGGCGCCGCCCTTTTGTCAGAAATATCTAAATTTATCTGACTTGGGTTTGAGGAATATGTGCCCAAATTCGTTAAACCCGTTAAAGAAACTACCTCTAACTTCCTTAAGTTAAGTTATAATAGAATAATATCACATGAGTGGTAATTACACAAACATTATTTTCTAACCATGTAGCTTCATCAGAAAATATCTATTCCAGATAAATCTGTTTATCATCAAAAAACTTTACAAAATTTAAGCAGAAAAACGTTTAAGATTTAATTTCAATGCAGGGCTCCTGCCGTCCTCTTATACGTATTTCGTCTTTATTATGCGGAAGTCGCTCTGAGAACTTATAGGGTCGAAGTACTCTTAAGCCGATAGCAGGAGCCCTGCATTGAAATTAACTCTGAAACATCTTTTTGCTTTATTTAGTTATTTATTATTGTAAGTACCAGAAACGAATTCATGAAGAATAGTTGCCGTGGTAAAATGTAAATTGTAGATTCCACTTGTCAGTTAATTCATTAATATGTCTGCTTTGTATATTTTAGAAAGCGCAGTAGGCAATTATCTAAATTTTAGTTTCACCAAGTAAGAAATTTCCGTATTTCTACTGTGAAAAAACTAAACTTTACAATCTGTATCATCTTAAATTCCCTAAATTTTGTTTGTAAGTTTGTTTGCTGCTTACATTATTTTCAAAACAGATTTTTTACATATGCAATGATTTATACATACTACTCACAAGCAATTTGGCTGATTGCCCAAACAAAAATTTTTTCAAAGGTGCAATTTAGTATTTTAATCGATTTTAGGAGACCTTTAAGCAAAGACAATTTTTTAATATGCTTACGTCCTCAGGTTTCCCTCTAGTTTACTGAATAAGCTGATCAGAAGACAATGACCAGCATTGAAATGAGATTTGAAGCTATTTTCTTGTGACATGTTAAGTTAAATATTGTATTTTTATTTCTACTATGGAAACCGTTTTTAAAAAAGATTATTTTAAAAAAAATCAGGAGTTATTTTAACCTGTACTTAGTTGTTAATAAATTGGCGGTTTGTTCAGCTAATTTGACAGGTGATTTACTTGTCCAAAATCATGGCTATTTGCTTTCAAGATCAAGGCAAAGTAAAGTAATTCACCTGTCAAATTGGCTCAATAAACTCAAATTATGAAAAAAAATACAGGTTAAAATAGCTATTAATATAAAAGAAATTATGGAGAGAAGGCAAACAGAATAAGTACTTCGATCACATTCTTAGAAGATCTAAATACCATATAATTTTCCTTATAATTTAAAGAAAAGTAAAAAGAAAAAGATGGAAATGAAAGGCCGAAAGACACTTTTAGATTATTATTACAAATTATTACACAAGTAATGGATTAATATTAGATGGTAATATTAGGCGGAATACGGGAATGATACCTAAAAAAGGAGATTTATGTAAAAGTATGCTATTTACCTGCTAAGTGTAGATCCTGACTTCAGACTGCTTCGAAGTAAACTATGCCTTCCAGCTTGCGTTATGCTTGTGTAATCAGAATACTCTGTTTGAGGAAGATGCTGATCCGAACCGGACCGTGGCATGATTCTCCGGGATCCAGTACCCGCGTGCTGAACATAATAATGGGAAGAAGGACTTTGTTGGGAAGATATTCTGTAAAAGAGATAAAAAATCGAGGTAATGAATATGTTTCTAATGAAATGTATTAAGCAATAAATCATTAAGTAGTTTATCTCTTTTCATGTTTCAAATGCAGTCTCGCTCTAGGTTACAATACCATATTATAAAGCAAATATATCCTTCAGTCATGTAAAAGTCATACGAATGAGTTTTGCTTAGAACGTCAATTTTGAGACTTCAAAAAAGAAGAAAAGATTGTTTAGTTCAGTAGGCAAGTAGAATCTGAACGGTAGGTAATACTGTACAATAGCGCGGAGCTTCATACTATATTTCTGTATTTTTGAAGTTGAAAAAAATAATGAAACATTTCAGAAATCAAAATAACAAATTTTGGTCGTTTTTGACATTTTGTATACCTAACGGCCATCCCCTCGTTAGGTATACAAATGGTCTCTTAGACCAGGACTGCATAAATATCAAAATTTTTAATATGTTTTACTAATTGTGTTTACATGAACTTATATTTATATAAAATTATGAAAATATAAATAAATTTTATTGATAGTATATTTTATTATTATATTAACTTAATATTTAAAAATAACAAGTTACATTAAAAAATGAGAAGAGAAGACGATACTGTAGACTAGCGCGGAACTTCATACTACGTTTTCTATATTTTTAAAATTTAAATAATATCTTTAAGAAAGAAATACCCATGGCTTGAAAACATAAGGGATTGGACAAATCTCGATACCCATGCACTTTTTAGAGCCACACGATCGAGAGGAATATTCCAGAATTGTCGCCAACATCAGCTAATTGGATAGGGCACCATAAGAGGAAGATATGCATTTCAACACAATCGCTCTGAAGATATCAATTAAAATAAAATTAGGTGTTTCGTTGAGATATTACATCTAAGTGGATATTTCTCATTTCCTCTAAGGTCTATATACTGGGAAAACAACGATGACTCAGGGTGTAAGTTGGTGTATTCGGCTATATTGCGACATTGATTCAATTTTATTATGCAACATATACATGTTTCTGATAATACACAATTACAAAAAGGCGATAAATTTGCTAAAATGCGCCCGCTATTTGACATAATAAATAAAAATTTTCATATGTTTCGTCCATTTGAAGAACATCACAGTGTTGATGAAGCGATGGTCCCTTAATATGGGCAGCATGGATCAAAATGGTTTATCCGAGGTAAACTCATTAGATGGGGCTATAAACTATGGGTCGGAACCACAAAACAGGGATATGTCGAGTGGTTTGAACCTTATCAAGGTGCCACAACCCCATTTTCTGATACATACAAGGAATTATAATTAGAAGCCAGTGTAGTATTGTCATTTGCCGATAAATGGCAGTCTGATAATCCAGATGCACCGTTTCACTTATTCTGTGATAATTTTTTTACCTCACTTTCATTACTACGTGAGCTAACAGCAAGAAATTAAAAATGCACTGGAGCAATTCGAGACAATCGAGTTCCGAATTGTCCTCTAAAAAATTCCAAGCTTTGCAAAAAAGATCAGAGGGGTGTATTTGAATACTCACTCGTAGAAGACGAAAATATTATAGTATGTAAATGTAATGACAATAATGTGGTTACTATTGCATCACATGCTAGTTCACCACTTCCAATTCTACAGGTGAAAACGATATTCTCAGAAAAAAAAGGAAAGTGTGCTCATCCCACAGCCATTTATGATAAAAAAATATAATAAAAATATGGGAGGAGTAGGATGCAAGGAATAGTGATGCGCAACGTATAGACTATCCTATCCAAAAGGTCAACCTCACCTGCACGCGTGATGATCTTGAGTCTAGCCATCCGGTGCATCGTGCTAGATAACAAATGAGGCTCTGACGTCCGAGTGATTGCCGGTATAAGCAATCCCCACTTACCCATCAACGGCTTCGGGCGGATGAGTTGGTAAGTGGTAGGGCACTATTTTGTCTTAGGGTTGGGAAACAGGTTCTAAAAGCGGATGAACCGAGAACTAGGTCAATTGCGTAAGGCTGTAGAAAGCAAGGAGAAACCACTACATTAAACATCCATATGGATATATCTAGTACATATCATGGCTACAGCTTTGAGAATGAAGACTACTGATCATGTAAGTTGGAGTTCAAGATCCGACAGAGAAGGAATAACAACACAGAATCAAGGTGTCTTCCAGGTCGTTAGCAAGCGAAACCCCCAAGTAAAGAGAAAGGATGCGCCTAGAAAAATTAAACAGTTTATTAAAATATGCACCTGAAATGTCAAGACCATGTACGAAGCAGGCAAAATGCCATCCATGAAATGAAAAGACTGAATATCGATATAATGGGCATCAGTGAAATGCGATGGCCTGATGCTGGAAAATGTCAAATAAACGAGCATCAAGTATATTACTCTGGAAATACAGAAGGTCAACATAAGCAAAGCATGGCGTCGGAATAATTTTAAATGAACAAACAAACAAATACTTTACGAATTTTGTTCCAATATCCAAGAGAATCATGCTCATTCAATTGGATTTATTCCCAGCAACAACCAACATAATAAAAATATACGCACCCACAGCATACAAATCAGATGAAGTAATAGAGGTTTTTTTTCAAATACACTCTTCAAATTACCATATAGAAGGTTGAACACATGGCGCTCACCCGGTGACACTCTAGAAAATCTCATAATAAACCAGATTAACTATATTTTAATAAATAAAAGATTCAAAAACTCAATAACATTAGTGAAATCTTAACCTGGTGCAAATATTAAGTCAGACCATAACCCACTTGTTTTGTCTGAAATAAAAAAAAATCCACAAACCTAATCCTATAAGATACGATCTTAAACAACTAAGAGATGATGACATAGAATAGCATATAAGAATAGCATATCTAAGTCAAAAGTAGGTAATAATGTTAATACCTGAGACCGAAAAAGACAGAAAAGAAAAAAACATAGATGACCGACGCTATATTACAGATGATGGACAGAAAAAAAGAATCCAAGCGGAAACACTACGGTACATGTCAATTTCTAGACAAAGAGATAAAAAAAGCTGTTAGAGAAGCTAAAAATAGAAATCTGGAAGAACAGTGTGAAGAAATCGAGATATTCGAACGAAAACACGATTCCTTAAACCTCCACAAAAAGATCAAAGAAGCAGCAGGCATCTATAAATCAAAAGGGCCGAAACACTTAACAGACGCTCAAGGAAATCCAATAGTTGATATTGAAGAAACAAAAACCAAATGGATGAACTATGTGGGAACAACATTTGAAAACAATAGGAATGTAACCATCACATTAAATAAAAATGACGATACTAGACCACCTATTCTCGAAGAGCTGCAGTAGACGCTGCTATAAACAACATTAAGGTGGAAAAAGCCGCAGGACCAGACTAGTTTTACTCAGACATTTTAAAAATTATGGATAAAGACGAAGTAATAAGACTTACCTTGATCTTCAACAATATATACCAAAGTGGAAAAAATACCTCAAGAGTGGCTAAGATCGCCTTTTATAACAATAACTTTTATAACAATCCCTAAAAAACCTAATGTAAAAAAATGTGAAGATTATCGAATAATAAGCCTTATGAATTATCGAATTATCGATTATCGAATAATAAGCCTTATAAGAATCCTGAAGATACCATGGACAGACAAAGTCACCAATGAAGAAGTACTGCGGAGGATGAACACAACCGCGGATTTGGTCAACATTGTGAAGAGCCGTAAGCTGGAGTACTTGGGACATATTATGAGAAATCAAGGCCGATACGAGCTACTCCAATGCATTTTGCAGGGTAAAATTGAAGGAAAAAGAGCCCCAGGACGAAGAAGAATATCCTGGCTTGCTAACCTGAGAGCATGGTATAGAAAGACCTCAACACAGCTATTTCGTATCTCTCTCTCTTGTCGTTTCCTCATTGCTGAGGATCGTGATTCCCTACAATGCGGGCTGTCAATTCTCTCCATCTCTTGCGATTTTGGGCTGCTCTCATGGACTCGGAAAACGTCTCTCCAGTGGCTTTTTGTACTAAATCTGACCATCGGATAGGTGAGCGTCCTCGGCCTCAACGTCCTTCTACGTTTCCGCACACAATTAGTTTTTCTAAGTTGTCATTGTCTCTTCTCGCAATGTGGCCAAAAAACTTTAAAACATTTGCAAGACACTGAGAGGAGAGTCTGGTCTGAATGTTTAGCTCTTCGAGAATCGACTGATTGGATCTGTGCTCCGTCCACGAGACGCGTAGCATTCGTCTCCAGCACCACATTTCGAATGCGTCAATCCTTTTCCTATCCTCTGATTTTATTGTCCATGTTTCGGCACCGTAACTAAAGATTAAAAAAACGAGTGTCCGTACCAGTCTCATTTTGAGTTTTTTGGACAAAGAGCGGTCCTTCCATATTTTTGACAGTCGAGTCATCGCGTTCTTGGCCATTCCTATTCTTCTGCGAATTTCCGTATGGCAGGAGGCTGCATTGCTTAAGGAAGATCCTAGATACGTGAACTCGTCTACTTTCTCGAATTGATTTAGGGCGCCTGTTGTTTGGAGGATATTCGCGTGGTCCACAATCATGATTTTTGTTTTCTGATTATTAATCTTGAGCCCACACTTGTTGCTTTCGGTTTCTACTCTCTTTATCAGTCTCGACATCTCCTCTTCAGATGTTGCTATCAGTGTTGTATCGTCTGCGAATCTTAAGTTTGAGATCTTTTTCCCTGCAATGGAGATGCCGTTCGTATAGCAACCAACAAAATCATCATAGCCAGAATGATCGCCAACGTTCGGAACGGACAGGAACCCTAAGAAGAAGAAGCCTTATGAGCTATCTCCTAAAAACCTTTTTAAAAATTATAAATACATAAAAGAACATATAAAAAGTGTGAAGAACACATGACAAACACACAATTCGGCTTCAGGGATGCATGCATGTCGAGACGTGACTTGTGATATATATGTGTATTCTGTTGATAACCAGAAAGCACTCGATTGAATAAAACATGACGA